GCCTGGGCACCTACAGTTGACGGTGAGGTGGATCCAGGTGCCATTCCGGAACTCGTCGTCGTTGCTGTGTCTATCCAGGAAGAGCACGCGGCACTCGTACCAGCCTTGGTCCTCTGTCCGCAGGAGGTCGATCCGCAGGGAGGCGCCTTCCTGGATCCGCACACGACCTGCCAGCACAGAACCAGCCTCTCCCTCAGCCCCGGCCTGCCGAGCTGCTTGGGGGTAGTGCCAGGCACCGGCAGGGAAAGCTGCCTGGCCTGGGATGCTCCCTACCTGAGGGCAGCTGCCTGGGCCAGCCTGTATCCCATGCCCCCTGGGTCCCCTTTCGACACTCCTGCACAGCTCCCCACAACCTAAGCCTCTTCCCCACCACCCTTCCCTGCCCACCCAAAGGGGCCAGCCAGCTCCGGCCACAGGCTGAGACCCTACAGCTCCTGCTCCTGGCTCAGGTCAGAAAGCAGAGACACACACTGAGCATTAGGAGTGGCGAGGTGGGAGGGGAGATGCAGAAAAGGGACGGGGGGCAGAAGAGCCCCAGGACCACCCAGCTCCCCAATCCCCGCCCATGGCATGGGAGCCCTACAGGTTGCAGTGCACTGCATGCCCCCTCCCCAGTAGCTCCTGCTTTCTCAGGGAGCCCCCTCCCCCATTAACCAGCAGTTCTACTCCCCTCCCCCCATCCTATTCCCACCCAATTCCTGCCCCTCCTCCTTGGAGCCCTCGCTAACCCTACCTCCCTGCACCGGAGGCACTTACCCCACTCCCGCCTCCCCCTACTTTAGCTCTGGCTAAACCACTCTCCCCTGGCCCCCACTAATCCTGCCCTTCCTCCACTACATAACTTCTGTCTCCCCCAGCAGCCTCCCTCCCCCAGCAGGCCCCACCCCTGCCTGCCACCTGAGGTCCTGGCTCTCAGCCCAACCCCACTTTCACCCAGCCCCTCAGGCACTGAATCACAACCTCTCTGCTCCCAGTGCACAGGCCAGGCAGGGTCGGGGGTGGAGATTGGGGGCGGAGGGGGCGTTTGGCAGCAGCCTGTAAGCCAGGCACAGGGGAAGCCCCCAGTCCCTGTGTCTGGGGCTGCAGGGCGCCGGACTGGTGGGCCTGTGTGCGGCCTCTTTCATGAGCAGGAGGATAAGAACCCTAAAGAAGCAGCAAACGTAACCCCGTAATCCCCAGGGCTATTATCAGAGTCATAATCGGCTCAGGCGCGCAGCAGGCAATTGGCTCAGCGCTGGGGCTGCGGTGCACTGCGTGTGCACACGCTTTGCTAGGTATGGCCTGCACTCCACCCACGCTACACACTGCTACCCCGCTACATGCTGTATTATGCCCCCAATACCCACCGCTCCACCCCCCAACACACACGGACACTACAGTTACCCCAATTAAAGACTGCAAAACACCCCCACGAGACATTGCTATGCATCCTCCTGTTATATGTAGCTATGCCCCCGACACAAATACACACTGCTATACCCCCATACAGTTACCTCCAAAGCATGCTGCTACACAACCCCTTCGTCACTACGCACTGCTACCCCTCTGATACACAGCCCCTCATACACAGGTACCCCAAAACATACTGCTCCACACACACCCAACTAGACACTGTAGACACTGCTACACACACACACACACACACACACACACACACACACACACACACAGAGCTATATCCCTGATACTCACTTCTACACCTCCCTCCATACCTACATATACCTACACACACTAATAGCTTATCCACCGACCCAACCTGCACACACACATGCAGGTACAGACGTATACCCACATACACCCTAATACACACATAGTGACACACACCTTGTTCACCATTTATACTCACACACTGTTACGCACACAAATACAGTACAATTCAGTAATATCATTAGCCTGATAAGCCATACAAGGGTTCATGAAGTAGCTATAGATATAGATACAGGGCTCGACAAACAATACTATATATATATATATAAAATAATAGTCTTTCATTGTTTTTTAAGTTTTTCCAGTTACAGACTAACTTGGCTACCCCCTCTGAAGCTATTAAAAAAAGACAGTCTGTCTATCAGGGAGAGGGACTTGTATGCCTACATCCATGCCTGCGCGTGTGTGTGCAGATGCTTGCATGGAACACACACATACGCATTGCTGCCCACCCCAAGCATGCAACCACATCCTTGCCCATGGTCACATCCCTGGATGTGCATACCAAGATCCCTACACACATACACACACTCTCTCTCAACATAGGCAGGGCTCAACAAATCGCTGAATCTACTTGCCCTCAGCGAGTAGATTTCAGCTGGTCGCGCCATGAGCCCCATTCACTGGTGCTTCGTGCATGCGCAGTTCTGGTCTTGCGCATGCGCAGTATGGGGCTGGCGAGTGGCTCTCGCCGGGGTTTGTCTAGCCCTGAACATAGGTAATGCTCAACTATCCCTCATTTCGCACCTCACTGGCCTTTCCACCTCAGTCTCTGAGGCTCATTCCTTTCTATGACAGTGCGGACTTGGGCTATATGGTTACATAGCTACCCTGCTACACACTAGTATATGCCCCCCAAAAATACATACCACTACACCCCTCTAACACACCCAGATGGACACCACTACACTCCTCTGACACAAATGGACGCTACCCCCCCCCAACACCACTATACCCACAATACACTATGGATGTAAAATTTGAATTATTTGGCTAAACAAATAGTTGATGCAATTTGCATTGATTAGTTGATAAGGGCGCTTCCCCCTTTGAACTGTAGCAACAGCCTCAGGGCTGTCTACTGAGGGGCTTTTGTCAGCTATATGGTCAGAGGTTTGGGATGGCTTTTCCCTCACACCTAAGAGGCATGGCTGTGCTGGCCACATTTTGTAATGTGCAGTTGGCCTCTGATAGCTTTTCAGGCCAAGGAAATCTTGTGGAAGAGGATTGTGCTGAGCTGGTGGGAAGCCCTTCTCAGTGTACTGGGCAGTGATCCCATATTACAGACTGTTCCTCTCAGCCCACAAATGCCTAGTACGGGCCCCACCTCCATGTAGGAGAGGGATTGTGTGATGGCCTGATGTGCTGGGAGCTTTGTGCGGCTCTGGAAGAGTGTCCATTTGTGTGTGCTGTAGGGATGTGAACGACTAGTTGACTGGTAAACAGAGCTATATTGCCAAAAAAAAAGTTCTGCAATGGGGTAACTCATTTGGGTCGGAACTGGGACTAGCGAAGTTACCACGGACAAAAAAGGGGAAGGGTGCAGTTTGGGGTAAGTAAAGATCAGAGATCTTCTGACCGATTTGAGTGAACTCAAATCAGCAGGGATGGATGCTATTCACCTGAGGGTGCTGAAAGAATGCTCTGAAAAAATCTTGGGAATCAGGGGCCATAATGTTTACCAATTCATGGATGACAGGAGAGGTCCTGAAAGACTAAAGAAGGGCTAAATTAGTCCCCATCTTTAAAATGGGGGGAAGAGGGGAAGAGGAGGGTCTGGGAAGCTTTAGACCAGTCAGACTGACCGCTAATTGGAAAACTACCAGAGCAATGTATAAAACATTCCATTTGCAAATACCTGGAGAATGAAGGGATGACCAAGAACAAATTATGCCAAACTAGCTGGATTTCCTTCTTTGGCAGGGTAACTGGTTTGGTGGACTGGGGGAATGTAGTGGACATAGCGTACCTGGACTTTAGCAAGGTTTTTGACACAGTCCAATATGATCGACTCATAAATAAGCTGGAGAAATGTGGGCTCAGTAGCATTGCCATTAAGTAGATACATAATTGATTAAATGACTTTAAACAGAGAGGAACTATTAATGGAACGATGTTAGACTGGAAGAAAGTCTCAAGTGGGGTTCTACAGGGAACTGTTCTGGGTCCAGTGTTATTTAACATCTTTATTAATTACCTGGATGTAGGAATAGAGAGTACACTGATCAAATCTGCAGATGACGTAAAGCAAGGAGGGCTTCTTTATGTTTCCCCTTTGGAAATAGAACTAAAATTCAAAGGGATCTTGATAAATTGTAGAACTGGGCTATAGACGACAAAATGAAGTTAAACGAAGAGAAATGTAAAGTGCTACACTTAGAGAAGAAAAACCAAATGCACAAATACAGTCTGGGGCAGAGGTTGGCACTAATTTTTGATGGGGGGGGGCACTCCAAAATGTTGGTAAGTTGTCACAGGCTGCACTTTTCCATGCAGGGGCTGTGGGGTCTGAGATGGAGGTTGGGTCCAGAAAGGAGCTTGGTGGAGAGGACTGGGGTGCGGGAGAGGGCATGCGGTCTGAGAGGGAGTTTGGGTGAAGGAAGGGGTTGTGACCTGGGGCAAGGGTGAGGTGGAAGGTCCAGGAAAGGGTATGGGTGCAGGGAGAGGATTCTGGCCTTGGGGAGGGGGTGTAGGAGGGAGTGCAGGATCTGGGAGGGAGCTGGGACTTGGGGAAAGGGAAGGGTGCAGAGGGTTTGGGTGGTTACCTGGGGCATGAAGGGGTGGGGTACCAGGTGCAGGCTCTGGTCGGAAGGCATTTATCCAGGGGGTTTCGAGCCAGAAACCCAGCAGGATCCTGAGGCAGGCTCAAAGTGGCTGTATGCTCCATATGGTTCTCTACGCCCCATGCCGGAATGGAGGGGTTAAGGCAGAGAGAGCCATATGGAGCAGCCAGCCCTGAGTAGTATGGGGCTGCTCGGTGCCTGAGGGTGCCAGCAGGATGAGCAATGGGCCGTTGACGGAGCCATGTAGATTTGTTGTTTTGGCAAAGGCAAATGAAGCCGCGATTTAAATGATCGCGGCTTCATTTACATTTACATGGCTGCCGCGCTGAGCCGACAAACAGCTGATCAGCTGTTTGTCGGCTCAGCGGGAGACAAAAATATCTAATATATTGAGTAACAATGTCTACAGTTAATGAATTGCTAGGATGAAAGAATATACTAAACGTAATACATACAGATTTGTCTTATGCCAAGCATATGTATCAGAGTACTGTACCTGGTTTTGTTTTAGGCCTCACTCACCCAATTTGTGATATAAAATCTTTTCACTCCTGTGAAACAGAAAGCAATAATCTCTATTGCTCACTGCTATCACACTATGGGTACGTCTAAACTACATGCCTCTGTCGGCAGAGGCATGTAGATTAGACACATAGGCAAAGGCAAATGAAGCCGCG